CAATAAGTGCTATGGAGAAAAACAAAGCAGTCCAGGGGTTTGCCATTGTAAATAGGGTGGACTACGTAGACTGCCACTGAAAAGGCGGCATTTGAGTAGAGACTTGAGGGAAGTTTGTAGTTTGCCAGTCATTCATTCAAGTGCCTGCCTTCTTTAGTACTGAGCCAGGTTTTGTGCATTGGCTTAGAGCCGTAGAGTTTATTGTGTAATCGTTGTGCCCCCCATGCTCCTAGTTCACTTGGGGGGGGGATCTGATTTCCATAATCATGGGGCAGCTACAGTCCAGAGAAGGGAGGAGGGTCACCCATCCCCTTGGTTGTTGTCATTTAGTTACTTGGTCACGTCCGACTCTTTTGCGACCCCATGGACTGTAGCTCTCTAGGCCCCTCTGTCCATAGGATTTCCCAGGCAAGAATATTGGGGTGGGTTGCCATATCCTTCTCCAGGGGATCTTCCCGACCCAGGGATCAAATCCACATCTCCTGCATTGCATTGTACTGCAGGCGGGTTCTTTACCGCTGAGCCAGCAGGGAAGCCACCCATCTCCTTTGTCTCCTGATTTTCACAGTGCTACTCCAGTCCCCTCCCTCTTCGACTCCCTCTCCCACACGCCTCACACCTGGAACAACAAACAGCTGACTCTAGCTAATACTGGCAATCCCCAACTTAATCAGTTTTGTCACAGAGGTTCATTGGCGACTTAGTTACTTAGAAATACAGAAACTTTTTCCCATTGGAAATATTGATACAATTGCATTAAGATATGGTGGGGGGAAAAAAAGCAAAACAAAACAGGGGACTCGACTATTATAATGGTCTGACCTTTCCCAGCTGTGGGACTTCAGGACTGGTCATTTCCCTCCCTTATGCAACAGGGTTCTCTGTGAAAGGAGATTGAACTCTCTAAGTTTTAAGGACTCCTTCAGCTCTAATCTTTTGAGTGTTTATAAAAATGATTAGGTTACCAGCTTAGTTTTAGTCTGTTTAGATTGGTAAGCCCACATTTTGGCATTCTTAATAACAACTAGCATTTATATAGTGTTTACTCTATGCTGGGCAGTGTTCAAGTTTTCCACTTGACCTATTTTATCTTTCCACAGAACCTCTCCTGTTGGTGCTGTTACCATTCTTGTTTTGTATAGGAGGAAACTGAGGCACAGGAAGGCCCAGAGGCTTGCTCAGAGTCTCGTAGGTGGTAGACTGTAGGAGGGAGCTAGGCTTCTGACCCCAGCAGTTGCTTCCAGAGACCATGCCCCTAACCGCTGCATTCAGTGCCTCTCTCTGCAGAAATGAGGGGAGTCCTTGGCTGGGAGGGGAGCTGGGCCTCTCTCAGAGCAGCAGGGCAGGACTGGTGGGCATTCACGCAAGTATGTACAGGCCGTTGGTAAAAAGCGAATGATCATGTATTGGAGACTTGCTTAATGACTGCCAGACTGTGTAGTCCAAACAATAAGTACCATAGGCATTCAGAAGAGGGGAAGCTGAGGGCTGGGAATTCTGAGGAAGAAATAAAATTTGACCTAGACTTTTAGGGTGGGTGACATTTGAGTTGGTGGAGGAGAAGTTATTCCCAGTTCAGGAGGAGAGCAGGAGCAGAGGCCCAGAAGTAATGGTGGTGGTGCCCCTGTGGGCTCAATGAGGAGTCCGGCTTGGCAGGAGGGTGCATTGGCCAAACCAGTCAAGGCAGAAAGGCTTCATTTGCCCTTGAAGCTGAGTTGGGGTGCAGAGGGAGGGAAATGACACTGAAAGGGAGGTCAACAGGGAGATTTGACTGAGTGTGGGGCTGGGGGGGTGCTCACCAGAGTGCAAAGCTCTGCAGGAATCTAGGATTGGAGGTGGCCCCTAGAAAAAGATGGGTCATGCACATCTTCTGTCCAGGCCCGGGCCTTACTGCTGTGTGTTTGCCTGCCTCACGAGACCCAGCAGAGCACCTGAGTTTGATCAGGATAATTAAGAGAGGTATTGCAAGGAAAGCACTGAAAGAGGTTGATGATTAAGATGTAAAGGAAGGAGATGGATGACTCACGTATGACGCGTGATTTCCTTGACTTTTCCCGACACATGCATGCTTCTGCCAGCTCCTGTGACTGAATGAGAGAGAGCACAAGCTTTGAGTTAAGCCTTATTATTAGAGACAGCATTGATCGTATTCATTCGGAATTAGAATGGGATCTTGCACTAAATGACCATACAGACTCACTTGAGGTTTGAAGTTTAATCAAGGGTAGTTAACTTGAGTCCCCCTGGCCTTCCCACTCCCTTTTCCGGTCAGTGATCAACCCTTAAGAAATGGTTGGAATTAGGTGCCTAAGAAAAGTTTATCAGGCAGATAAGCTTGTTCTGTCTCTAAGGCCATGGGCAGATATCAATTCCATAGAAAACCAAAGCAACCGTTCAGAACTGTTGGTCTCTTCAAAAAGAAAGCACATAGCACGTATTTACATAGCCCTTGTTCTGTGCCAGGCACTGTTTGGGGCTTTTCACCTGTAGTAACTCATTTAATCTTCATAATAACCATTTTCTTTGGTTATAATTATCATCTTCATGTTATAGATGCAGAGAGAGGCAGAGAGTTTGGCTAACTTGCTGGCTAGTAAGTAACAGAGCTGGCATCTGAGTTCAGGCAGCCTGGCTCCATAGTCTGTGCTCTTAATCACTATACTATGCTGAAATGAAATGTCTTAAGATGAAGAGCTGTTAGAGAGCTTTACAAGAAGCACAGTCTCCACTTGTTTATGAATTTGTCTGGATGTATTATACCCACATACATGTATTCAGATACGTTTAAACATTTGCAGATTGTATTTAAACTTTCTGTGAGTGTGTGTTTTAAAGTATAGGAAGTAGAAGAATCTCACGAGAAATGGAAGGAATTATTAGGGGAAAAAAGGATGGCAGAGAGCCACAAGTACCCTAAAATGCAAACGAGTTAGAAAGTCTGACTAAAGGATGTGTGTTTGTGTCTGTGTGTTAATTGCTCAGCCGTGTCCTACTCTTTGCGACCCCATGGACTGTAGCCCCCCAAGCTCCTCTGTCCATGGAATTCTTCAGACAAGAATACTGGAGTCAGTTGTCATTCCCTTCCCCAGGGGATCTTCCTGAGCCAGGGATCTACTTCAGAACAAATGGGCAAAAAAGAAATCCATTTGAGAGATGGGAAATAGGGGAGGCTAATAATGTTCTATTAAAACACCAAGGTTAAAAGATAGATTTTAAAAAGTCTTAAACTACCTTGAAAATTGGGGTATGATTTAAAGCGAACCATAAATAGGTAATATTTTTATTGTGAGGGCTTTAATTTCTGTGTGGGAGTGGGAGGTGGGTGAGAAGGCAATAACTATGTCAGGAAGGGCTGAACCAGCTCTCCTGGACTTTTGGTGCAGTGCGTTTCTGGAAACTGCACAGTAAGGGAGATAATCCTAAAGTAGAGTGTGGTCTCCAGTAGGAACAAAGTTTTCATTAAAGGCTGTATACCTGATAAACTATTTGTCTTCAAAAATATCATTGATGTGATGTCAGAAAGGCCAAAATGGAATAACTGTATATTAAGTCCTAACTTAAATCCTAACTTTTAATCACTTAAAATCTTAACTTAAACTCATTGTTGCCTGAGCCATTGGTGCCCCCTGGCACCATCTGGGTTTTAATGCAGTGCAGTAGGAACTCCCTGCTTCTACAAGGACTTGGCCTGCTATGGGCTGCCCCTCCCCACAGCTGGGGCCCTTGGTCTACCTTTCAGAAATGCTAATGGTAGTTGAGTCAGGAATGGTGGGCCGAATATTGAGAATTCAGGGCCGGTGCAGGCCGCCGTGTAGAAAACTGATTTTGGGGGGAATCACAACTACATAGTGCCTGTCAGGTTGACGTTTTGGGACAGATGGCATTTTTTTGCTCAGTTAAAAAGGAAGGTAATGCTGTAAATATTGCATATCATGTAAGAGGCCCAGAGTACTCCAAAGTGTTGGCATAGAGTATAAAATATAACTACCTATTGATAAGTTAATATAGCTGTAGTTCTTAAGTAATTAATAATGATTAAGTTTCCATTAGTTTAAATAATTGAGTTTTGGAATAATTTTCGACTTATAGAAAAGTTGCAAAGATAGTACAGAGAAGCCCTTATCCAGTCTCTGGGGGTTGATTTTGGTAGTCCTGGCCTCAGGAGAAGTTCTCAGGAAAGTTTGAAATGATATTTCCTTTCCCTCTCTGTTTCCTTCCCTGCATTTGGCAGAAGCATGAAAACTCCTTTCCCTGGTCTTAGAGCTGAGTCCAAAATAAGAGTCAGTAAATACTTGGTGGAAACAGTGGTGGGTTTTCTCCAAATGAAACGCATTTTTCAAGACATTGGTTCACTGTTTCTCCTCTTCTCTTCCCTCTTCAGATTCGCCAGAGCTACAGTTCCAGCTGTTTAGTGTCAGACCTCAGGGGAGCAACCAGGGCTGTTAAATCTCTCTCTCAGTACTTCTTTGGAATAGTCATTAAAAAACAATTACCAGGTCACGTTAGCAAGCACAGTTAAAGATGAGCTGCTTCAACACATTCATAGAACTGCTGAGAGGGAAGTGTCTATATCGAGTGCCCTTTGGTGAGCGTGTAGGGGACCCCAAATACCCACAGGAGGAAAAGTTGGACGTTTAAGAATATACTGTCCTCTGGGTTTACCCTATGGCAGGTGATGCGGCATGGGAGCCACACTTCCTGGGTTTGCATCTCAGCTCTGTCATTTACCAGCCATGGGATATGGGGCAAGTGACTCAAAGCCCTTGTCTCGGTCGCCTCATCTTTACAAGCTGATAGTCCCTGTCTCCTAAGGTTGTGAGGACTGAGCAGATTTATTTGTGGAGAGTACTTAGGATACTACCTGGGTCAGTAAATGTTAGCTCTCATTAACTCAGTTTTATGTTTCCTGGCCTCTGGGACTTGGAGGAAAAATGAAATGAACCATTGAAAACACTGGCTGCTGTTGATAAATGTGTTTCCTGTGCTTGATTTGAACAGAATCTCAGCCACCTGTGACAAATTTGAGTGTTTCTGTTGAAAACCTCTGCACCATCATATGGACATGGAATCCTCCTGAGGGAGCCAGTCCGAATTGTAGTCTAAAGTATTTCAGTCATTTTGGCAACAACCAGGATAAGGTAAGTTTTCTGTAACAGATCACACTGATAAGGTAAAGTGAACAACTGTGAGTTGGAGCTAAGAATGAGCCACATTCTAACTTCAAAGTGGGGTTTTTACTTTGAGTTGTGTCCAATTTTTTTAACTGGGAAAATTATGGAAACAACTATGTCCAAAACTGAACATCAGAAAATATTTGCTAATCAAATACAATTGAGGTTATTACTGTCTTAGGAAATATTAGGTATCATTGTCTAGTAGGCACTCCATAAATAATTAATTATGTTAAAATTGGTTCCTATAGGCACTCCATGAATAATTAAATATGTTAAAATTGGTTTCTGTGTTGCTGCCTGAAGCATTGTATTTATATAAGACTCTCAGTATCTCAGGGAATTTTCTCATTTACCATCTCATTAATCACATGCACAGGTAGATATGCAAGATCTATGTGATGCCAAAGAAAATGGCCATATGGAAAGTGAAAAAAATAAGATGTCCATGAAAGGTGGGATTGGCTAGAAGATTCCCTGATGTTTGAGGAAAAATGAGAGAAACTTTCAGCTTTTCCCAGTCAGATGTGCAACCGATTTCAGTGAATTTTTGTTAACAAGATTTCGGATTCTTTTTGATAATCGTATTTAATTTAATTTAATCGTATTTAAGGCTCTTAAGAGCCTTATTGGTTTGTAGCCCCTTATAATTGACAGGTTCCTCAAAGCATCATATTTTCTGTTCAGAACTGTTTTATACCTGTATACACTCTTTGGTTTCTGCATCTGCAGACTCAACCAACTGCAGGTGGAAAATATTCAGGAAAAAAAAATCCCAGAAAGTTCCAGAAAGCAAAACTTGAATTTTTCAAACTGGCAACTATTTCCATATCATTTACATTGTACTAGGTATTATAAGTCATCCAGAGATGATTTAAGTATAGGAGAGGATGGGCAGAGGTCATATGCAAACACTAGGCCATTTTAAATAAAGGACTTGAACGTCCACACATTTTGGTGTCCACAGGAGGCCCTGGAACCAATGCCCCTCCCATGTAAGAGGGGTGACTATCTTCTTTCAGTGTGTGGGTGGGGAAGATAGAGGATGTTTGGGGTTGAATTTGCCCAGGATTTTGAGGAGGCCAATGAGAAGTTGTTATTAATGACAGTACTTCGGCTCAGTGAACTGTGGAATCATCATGTCCAGGCAGTTTGGTGGCAGGAAGAGTCTGGAGAACTAGTTAGTGCACCATGCAGCTAGCTCAGTGGCCTGGGGTAAAGTCCTTAACCTCTCTGAGCCTTCATTTCCTTGTGTGTAAACTGTGGCTTTACACTTCTCTGGCTTGCTAGGACACCAAAACTAATGAATGGGAAAGCTTAATGAAGTGAGGATGAAATGGGCTCTCCTTCCGGAGGGGAATTTGCTAATCTGCCTTCCCACAGAGGTGTTAATTGTAGTTTAGATGTCGATTGATAAGAGGCTGGTCAGTTCCAAGTATTTGCCTTTTAAGAGAGGTCCTCCAAATGCGGAAGCCAGTGAAACTCTGGTAGACCAGTTCCCCTTTTCACACTGTTGGCTTCCTCTTGTTCCTAAGGATGGGCCTTAGACAGTTGGAGTCTTAGTGACAGCTTCTGGTAGTTCAGCCTTGAGAAATTACAGGAAAGACCCTTTTTAGTGTGTCACCTAAGTAATCTAACTGAAACCCCCAGGAGAGATCACCATCTTTCTAACAGGGCCTTGTTCATTAGCCTGTCAGCCATGCTCAAGGATCAGTCAGCTAAATATGCTGATATGCCAGCCTAGAAATGGGGCTGACTCCTCAGTATAGTTACAGAAAGTTAGACATAAAAGTAACTTTAGGAAGCAGTAGAATCAGAATTGGGTTGGAAATTTTGTCTCTTCCCCTTTCAAGTCTTGTGGCCTTAGGCAGGCAAGTCATTTAACTTCTCTGAGCCTGAGCCTCCATTTTCTTGTTTGTAAAATGCTGGGGGGTGGGGGAAGTCTAGTAAAAATACTTACTTCATATGAATGGTGTACATTTATGAAAGGAGATAATGTTTGTGATATACCTGGTACAGAGTTAGTGTTCAGTAATTGTTAGCTTTTATTATGAATACTGTTAGATCGAATCATGTAAAATTGTTTCTTTTATAGGTCATATGTATGGTTCAACCAGTATTATTGTTTAATCTTGGTCCCTCCCTTTTGCTCCCAAAGAAACCTATAAAGGGTGGCCTCTGCCTAAGGCCTACTCATTTATTGCAGGCATTTGCAGCATTGAAGGATACCAATGTCAGGATTGTGATAAACACAGATTATCCCTTCCAATCAGTGATGGGGGATTTCCTGTCTGGTCCTTTTGAAGTTTACAATCCTGAGTCTGAGAATCAATGGCAGGAGAGATTTTCTTCCCCTCTCTCTGTACTTTGAATATAACATTAACGTTGTGAGACTACACTGGGATGTATATATTGTTATTGTTTAGTCACTAAGTCATGTCTGACTCTTGCAACCCCATGGACTGTAGCCTGCCAGGCTCCTCTCTCCATGGGATTTCTCAGGCAAGGATACTGGTGTGGATTGCCATTTTCTTCTCCAGGGGATCTTCCTGACTCAGGGACTGAACCCACATCTCCTGCTTGGCAGGTGGATTCTTTTCCACTGAGACACCAGGGAAAGCCCATGGGGTGTATATATGCTTTGAAGCATATTGATGCAGTGGCATTATAATAGCATGTATGTGTTATGGTGTTTTTGTGACCATCTAATGGTCCCAGATTGCTAAATGAGGTAAATCATTGAGGTCATTTTCAGTCTTCAGATTGGAGAAACATTAAGATGAGACATAGAGAATCGTAGATAATTTTTTTTTTTAAATAGAAGACTAGTTCAAGTGGCTGCCCTCCACCAGTGTTTTAGCGATATCTAATCTGGCAATTAGAAGGATCTGGCCTCAGATTTTAGATTTCTTTCATTACCAAGAGACAGGTGAGTCTCACTCGGTGAATAAATTAAAAGGCTGTTGTTCTGTCTAGGAATCCGAAGAGGCTAAAGGTCAAGCTGACCCCCCTTTCCTTCTGAGAAAGGATTAGGAAAGCTGCAACCTAGCCAAATGAACATTGGTCTTGAGGGGGAGGGATCGGCTCAGGACTCTGGCCTTGATTTCTGATAAATTTTCAAAGCCCAGACTCTCTGAGGGGTGGAGCATAATGTCATAGAGCAGCAGCTACCAGTAGAATGAGTCACCAGAGCCGAAAGTCACGTGGGAGCCATCAGACACACTTCATCAAGATCTGCTGGGAGGGATTTGGTTCCTGGTCTGATAGAGAGAGGCACACTTGACTTGGCAGTCATTGACAACTGGGATTCCTACTTTATTCATGCCATTTTAGTATTATTTGCTTTGAGCTTCAGAAGAGAATATTTTTTTAAGTATTTTATCTTTTCCCCTACCATGTCTTTTCTAAGTTATTTTGTTATTCATATGCCCAAAACAAAAGATTCAGATTTAGGTACTAAAGTATGTTTTTAATTTAAGAAATTCTATTTATTAAAAATATTTGTGTAATAAAACTCCCCAGCCCACTCACTGGAACAATATCTAGTATAATAAGAGAACTGAGATTTTTCATTGATGATTCTCACTGATGGCATTTGACCATACATTTTCCCCTGGGTGTCCTCAAAGGGCAAACTCAAAGAATTATCAAGGATTCTTGGTCAGGGCGGCTCCTTCAGGGGTATATTTTTTGCTCTGTAAAATAGTGTGGCTGGTGCACAGAGCTTCCTGTGCATTCAGAGCTTCCCTGCCATCATCACCAAAAACCCTGAGACTGGTCGTCAGCTTCACAGGTTGAGAAACCTCATTTCCTCAGCACACATTCATCAATCCAGGGTCAGTTCCTTACTTCATCATGGGAACAATAATGCCAAAACATTCTCAAGAGTCTTTTGAGAAACCTCATTTCCTCAGCATGCATTCATCAATCCAGGACCAGTTCCTTACTTCACCATGAGAACAATAATGGTGAAACAGTCTCGAGAGGCTTTTGTTGGCACAGCTGGTATGTTCCATCCCTGTAGGCAGCAACTATATGGAAAGCCAAATGATAAGTAGGTTCCTTGGCAAGGAGTCAGGAATTTGTTGTGAAAATGTCCTTGGCTCAGAATAGCTGGAGGCACCACTGAGGGTAGGCATGGCTTTGCTGCTGGGACAAACCTACTCAATGTTCACGGACCAAATCACTTTTTCTCCCCATCACAATTTTGTTTGCAGACATTTTTTTTCTTTTCTTCCAGGGCTGACCAACGAACTCCTCTTTTAGAGTGCTGTCTTGCTTAGTCCTTAGAGCTATTCAGTGTCATAAAGTCTTGTTTTTTTTCCCTGTGCCTTTGCTATGGTTTGTTGATTGATGATTGGCTGGCTACCTCTCAGAGGACATCCTTGGGTCCTCATTTTGAGAGTCTCTCACAGTTGCCTTCATGCTCAGCTGCTGGCAGGCGTGTGAAATGGCAGAGTAGCCCCTTTAGAGTGGTAGATAGAGGTAACACTGACAAAATTTCCCCTTCATGGCTCTCAGCACGTATATAAAAGGAAATGCTGTCTCCAACTTGAGTCAGAAACTATTACAAAACAGGAAGCGCCTTGGAACTCTGATTAAAAGCAGCTCCGTTCTTAATAATTCCAACTCTGTCACCTTGGAAAATGTGAATTTCCTGAAGAGTCCTTCAATCTCATTATTCTAAATCATAACAAGATTTGTGATTTTTATCTGTAGGCTGTCTATAAGTTGGCTTTCTGTGATTCCACGAAGCTTACCTTTCAGAATAAGAATGTGCTGCACTCAGTGCATATAACGTCAGCCCTTATCATTCCTATGTTTATGTGAGATTGTCAAAATGGTCAGTGCAGAAAGATGTTTGGTGAAAAGTCATTCCTCAGCCCTCAGGTTCCCCTTATTTACTTCCTCTCCTCAGAGGTGACCAGAGTTGCCGGATTCTTAGACCAGTTCATTTGACCTTAGTCTTGATGTTACACTGCGTCTACTTGGAATTGAATTTTGATAATCTCACTGGGTTTCCTTTGAGATTGCTCTTAGACAGTTGACATGTTAGCATGGTAGGTTTATAGAAAATGTCATGATGTTTATACATGAAAATTCGAGGAACTGTCTTTTATTTCTACCAGAGTTTCTCAGTGGTGGCATTACTGCCATTTGATGCAGGATAATTCTTTGTTGTGGGAGGAGGGAAGGCTGTCCTATGCCTTGTAGAGGGTTTAGCAGCATCCTTGGCTTCTGCCCACTAGATGCCAGTAGCAGTTCACTCTGCCCCCTGCCGCCCCCCCCCCACACCGGTTATGGCAACTAACCATGTTTCTAGACATCAATAAATGTCATCAAGGGGTGGGAGAACAGAATCACCCCCAGTTGAGAATCACTGAACTGCATACCATTTGCTAACTTTTCATTTTCTTTACACATTTCAGCATGCAAATGTTTTATTACATAAATGTATTTCTGTGCATTGGCTACAGCAATACCAAATTTCTTTACCTTAGAAAATTGCTCCAGAAACTCATCGTTCAAAAGAAGTGCCCCTGAATGAGAGGATCTGTCTGCAGGTGGGGTCCCAGTGCAGCACCAATGAAAGTGAAAAGCCCAGCATTTTGGTGGAAAAGTGTATCTCTCCCCCTGAAGGTAACAACTGAAAGCACTATCTCTTGGCATTTAGAGAATACATCCAAATTATCTACCTGCTTATGTTCAGTGTTCATTAATTCTTTCCATTTTCAAACACTTAAGTCTAATAAGTGTCAGGCACTTGTACTAGATGCTGACAACACACTGATAACTGTGAGATGTTCACAGACAACTTGAATGACCATGCCTGGTAGTTATAGAGTACTGAATAATTTGGAAAGTAATACACAATGGCACACCCTCACACGCACACACACACACGCCTTTCCCCTGAATCGAGCTTTTTAAGCTTATTCTGTGAAATGACGAAGGTGTGTATTATTATCCTGATTCATTTTATGAGGAAGAAGGAAACTGAGTGAGTTGCTGTAGATCTTCAGATCCTAGGTCCAGTGCCTTAAAAAAATAACAAAAATATTATTCAGTGTGGGTAAGAGGCTGGGATCATGGTTTATAACAACTTAACCTCCCCTATTCTCATTTCCCAAGGAGTTTAATAATCTGAATAAAGCCTAAACTGTATTATGACCAAAAAGTGATTGGTGATGCCAAAAATTGTATTATGACAAAAAGTAGCCTTTTAAGGATCACGAGAGATAGCAGGTGTGAATTTTAAACAAAGGCGTTTAATTTAGAGATGTTATATCTTAACTTAAAAGGCTTTCTAAACAGAGAGATTTCAGATCAATAAGATTTTCTGGCTCCAAAGACCATAACACACAATAGGCAGTGACTAATAGTTATATTTTGCTTACCTTTCCCTAAATTGCTTCAAGAGGAATGTTTTTTTAATTTTTAAAACAAGATGTGTCAATATTGCTCAAATGATAGGAAGGTAAATTATAACTCAGTAAACGTATTTTTTTGTAACGACAAGTAGATCTAATGGTTGTTATGTTTTCACATTCATTTGGGAAACTTCATAGTCATTTCCTATGATTGAAATATTGTTTGACCTTTAAACTCTGTCTCCAGTTAGGAGTACAAGAGTTAGGGTCCCTTGATAGTAAAGATGTCTTCTTAATCTGAGATGAGAGAGAAAGTTGTGAGCAAATTAGATTTGGGTTTTCTCCCTCCTGGGTGCCTTCTGGGTCAAATGGGAGTGAGAGGTTAGGGGTCAGTTTTCTGGAAAAGTACCCTGAAGCACCCTCATCACCCCCCAGCCTCAGAGTGATTGGCTAGCTGGCACTACAAGGAGAGGACAGTCGTAAACTCTTGGCTGGATGTTCTAGGTGATCCTGAGTCTGCTGTTACTGAGCTCCAATGCATTTGGCACAACCTAAGGTACATGAAGTGCACTTGGCTCCCTGGAAGGAATACAAGTCCTGACACTAACTACACTCTATCCTACTGGTGAGTATGGACAGTACACTTACTGCAGAGGAACCGACTGTGATTGCATTGGGATCCTTTGGAAGTAACGTAGTTAAAACATAAACAGAATACCCTATTCCTTTCTACAGTTTGCTCCAATGAAAAATGCATCTGCTTTTGGTGTGTCATTTAAAAAAAACACCTTAAAAAATAATTATAGATCCCATCTACCCTTTACCCAGTTGCTTCCAATGGTAACATCTCATATATAGGGTACAGTATTAAAACCAGAAAATTGACATTGGTACAGTCAATCCACTGACCTTATTCCAATTTCACCAGTGTTCCATCCAGTCATTTGGATGTGTGTGTAGTTCTATGCAGTTTTATCATATGCAAAGATGCAGAACAGTTCCATTACCACAAGGATCCCTCTAGTTGCCTTTTTATTTATTTTTTAAAATCAGTTAATCAGTTTGGCTGCACCTGGTCTTAGTGGTTACATGAGAGATCTTTAGTTGTGGTATGTGGGATCTAGTTCCCTGACTAGGGATCAAACCCAGGCCCCCTGAATTGAGAGTGAGGAATCTAAGCCACTGGACTACCAGGGAGGTCCCAAGTTGCCCTTTTATAGCTACACCCACCTCTTTCCTGCACCCCCTCTCCCCACACTCTTCTCCCCCAAGTCTCTAACCTCTGGCAACCACTCATCTGTTCTCCATCTATAACTTTGTCATTTTAAGAATGTAACAGGAACAGAATCATACAAAATATATTCATAACTGTCAGAGGCTGACTATATTTTTCAGTCTCTGCATAATACTCTGGAGATCCATCCAAGCTGTTGTATATATCAATAGTCCATTCCTTGTTCTTGCTGAGTGGTGTTCTATGATATGGATATATCAGTTTGTTTAACCTTTTATTCACTAAAGGATATCTCAGTTATTTTCAATTTTTTTGCAAGTATGAAGAAAGCTGCTATAAATATTCACATTCGGGTTTTTATGTGAATATCACTTTTCAGTTCTCTGGAACAAATGCCTTAGGGTGTAATTGCTGGATCATATGGTAATTGCATATTTAGTTTTATTAAAAAACTGCCAAATTATTTTCTAGAGTAACTATATTGTTTTACATTCTCACCAGCAATGTATGAGTGATTGGTATTTCTCTTTCAAAAGGAAAATTATATCATCCCCAGAGTTTAAAAAGTAGTTTAGTGCCCCAGACAATAACTTGTATTTCCTATGTGTGACTGTATCTACAAAATTTGTTAACTTTCTAAATTAATCTTTCATTATTTCCTTTCCTTTGGAGCCTGGAACTGAATAACAACAGAACAGGGAAGAAAGAACCAGGTTAATCAACTGAATTTAGTAAAGCCTGATCATACATAGTGGGTAAAGCTCTGAATGGTGAGCAGAGATAAGAAACCTGTCTCTTTACTCCTGGAGCTTCAGTGTAGAGGTGACAGCGCTGGACACAGTTGTTTATATAGAAAGAAGAGTGCACAATGGAGGCTTGCAGAAGTGTAGACAGGCTCTGTGAGAAGTGAGGGTGGAGCTTGGCATGGTGGTGGAGCGAGGTGAGAGGCATTGCTGAAGGGATGGGCTGCCCAGATGGGGAAGTGTCTCTGAGGCTGGAGGCTGGTGCTGAGGCAGAATGGTCTCAGGACTGGGAGTATTTAGTTTATGTGATTCTAGGTAGGGAAGCAGGAGGTCTGATGTTGGCAGAGTGCCCTGCACGTGGCCTTGTTCCCCCCTCTATTGTTCATTCAGACTGTTTCTGAGAGAGTGGTGTATGGAGGGCCACATCTAGAACTTCTGAAGTTATAGGATGAGCAGGGCCTTTATCCTGGATTGTCCATTTTGCCCAATGACTGGATGAAAAGTATGAATATTTTTGGTATGTGACAACCCTCGTGGCTCTATCATGGAGTAGGACACCAAAAAAATCACATGAATTTTTTTTAACAGAAACCTCCCAGGTGGCCTGGGGGTTGGCATTCCCTCTCTTCCCCTGTCCCCAGAGGTGCTCCCAGGCAAGCTGAGGGGCACTGTGGGTGAAGGCAGACAGCATTGAATTCACGTGGTTCAGTCTGGAGTCCCCTTGACTCCCCAGTACAGATCATTCTCATGTGAGGTTTGCAGTTTCACTCGCCTGCTGGTGGTACCTGTTGCTTCTCCTTTAAGCCCTTCAGTGGTTCCTGGCGCCTGTGGTCTAAAGTCCAAACTCATCAGCAGGAGCAGCAAAGCCTTTTATGCTGGCTCTCCTAACTGGCTCTGTCGCCTCAGTGTCATCCTGCACCCACCACCCAGCCCACACTGAACTTCTTTCAGTTCCTCAAACTCACTCTTCAGACACTCAAACAGAAGAGTGGCATACAGACCCAGCATTCAGGCAAAATAGCAGAAGCACTCTGCATGCCCTTGTGGCCCAGGCCTCGCCTGTTCACCTGGACACTTCTAACTTGTCCTTCTTATCTCAGCTCAGGCATCTCTTCCCCTCCAGAAAGCCTTCCTTGACCTCTCTAGCCTAGGTACGTGTAGTCTTCTACACATGTACCTAGGTAGTCTTCTCTCTAGCCCAGTTGTCGTGTACCATGGTACCTTGTACTTTCCTGTGTCATAATACTCAGCACATTGTGTTGTCATTTCCTGTTTACTTAGTGGTCACCCTCTCCAGGCTGCCGTCTCCCTTGAGAGCAGGGGCTGTGTCTTATCCCTGCCCCCCACCCCATGCCTGATACATGGGAGGTGCTCTGTGAATAGGTTTTTGAACGTTTGGTAGTATCCAAAGTTAGACAACATTCAGGATTGGGGTGAGGACTTAGGGGGCAAGGTTAAGCAACTCAGGAGCATTATAATTCAGGAATAAAAAGAAAGAAAGATAGAATAGATCTGCCTCCCCAAGAACTAAGCCTTTAAAGAAGCAGCCTGGCCCTGGTGATATTTTGGTGAAGTCTGGAGAGAGCTGTGACTATAGTTTGAAGTCTTATAACTTGTAGGATCCCTGAGTTTATTATGCTATTAATTCCCCTTGGTTTTCCTAGAGTTGTAGTTGGTAAAATCACAGGGAAAACCTTCAAAGAATCTATCTTTAGCAGGGGCAGGGAAAGGAAGGGAAGAAGTCTTAAAACTTTATCTCAGTCCACGGCAGATTGTGCAGGAAAGTAACCCAAATATAGAAATTAGGGTAGCTCTGGATAGCCTAGCTCTTGGAGTTCTTAGTAGACAAATTTAGGGAAGCGCCTTGGAGCATGTGTTGTTATTTAGTCGCTCAGCTGTGTGTGACTCTTTTGCAACCCCATGGACTGTAGTCCATCAGTCTTCTCTGCCCATGAGGTTCTCCCAGGCAAGAATACTGGAGTGGGTTGCCATTTCCTCCTCTAGGAGAACTTCCAGACCCAGAAATCAAACCCACATCTCCTGCGAGTCCTCATTAGTTATCTGTTTTATATATAGTAGCATGTTGTGCTCAGTCACTCAGTTGTGTTTGACTCCCTATGGCCCCACTGACTGTAGCCTGCCAGTCTCCTTTGTACATGGAACTTTTTAGGCAAGAATAGTGGAGTAGGTTGACATTTCCTCTTCCAGGGGATCTTCCTGACCCAGGGATCAAATCTGCATTTCCTCCATTGGCAGGAAAGCCCCAACTTGGGGCATATACCAGCACAAAATCAATCTTAGTGCAGATTATAAAACTAGCATCCCCTCTGGATGAACAAATTATCAAAAACTGGCCCAACCAAATAAGAAGGCATTCTTCTTCCTCTGGGCTGAAGTGTTCAGTACTTACCAAAGCTGACCGCAATGGTGCTTGGGCTGGTTGGCTGGCTTTCAGCCCTTAGCTCCTGCTGTGGTGCAGGGATAAGCTACAATCATGGGATAGCATCCATCCCAAGAGAGTGGGGGTTTGCTGGTACGCAATGGTGGGGGGAATGCAACAGGGACACCAGTTCTTGTTATGCACATTCCTGAGTTGGTCATTAGCATGGATTCTTCCTATAACATGGACCTGTACTGTCCAATACAAGAGCCACTAGTCACACATGACTGTGTTTACATTTTAATTTAAATTAATTAAAATTAAATTAAAACTTAAGTTGCTCAGTCTTACTAGCCAATTTCACATATGGCTAGTGGCTCCTGTACCAAACAGCACAAACTTCCATAATCTCAGAAAATTATATTCGACAGGCTGGTATAAATTCTGTATCTTTTGCCCTTACCACCTTATTCTCTTTTCTGGAGCCATACTGCTTGGGTTCAAATCCTGACTCTCTTTCATACTAGCAGCGTGATTTGGGGCAAGGCACTTCTCTCAGCCTCAGTTTTGTAATCTGTAAAATGGGAGTAGTAACAATAGTGCTGCCTCTTAAGGATGTTTTGAGGGCTGTTATACGAAGAGTGTTTGGAATTGGCCTAATTGCTAACATCTGTAGAGTTATCATGCAATACATGAAGCCCCAGGGCGACGACTTCCAGTCCTTCAGGGATAGTCTGGCATTGAAGGGATCCTGACCTTAATAGCTACAGACTAGCCAAGCCAATGAATTTTAGGGAATTTCTTAACAAACTTATCATCTTTAGAGTGCAGGAAATAGTCTTTAATTTGTCCATTTCCTCCTTCTGTCCTCAGGGTGATTGTGTGGATTTCAGTGTGTGGTTTTTAACAGGAAGCACTCAAATGCCTCCTATCTAATCTTTCACAAGATTTCAGAAATTTTCTCTTCAAAATCAGTATTTTCCCTTTTGTTATGGTTTATAAAATACAACAAAAGATTTTTTAAAAATTTCTTATCTGGAGTCCATGAGAATATGTGAAATACTCAGGGTACAATGAAAAAGGAATCTCAAGGTTACTCATTAGAGGAGTTCCTTTCATTATTGAAAAAAAATAACTTTCTACATAGTTCTCTTTAGTTATGTAACAATAATGTCATAAGTTTCTTCAGTTTCTATTTCTGTGAGGGTGCAAAACATTTCAGGCCTGTCTAATCTAAGAACTAGTCATGGCTGTAACTTAGTTTTTTA